TTTTACGATCTTGGAAGTCATATTGAGTGAACATCGCCCATCTATGGCATGAGAGATATCCGTGATCGGCTAGTGGACACGGTAAGCCTTAAACATTTTTTTTGTTTTTTCATTCCATTTATTTTTTGAATTATAACTTGTATTTGTTCATAACTAGTATCTCACTCGTGCGTTGCACGGCTCATATTTACGTTAATTATATTAACATGATTTTTTGAAAGATACAAATTGATATATAATGAAATATAGAGACTTTATTATTTTTAGTACAAAATATAATTGATTTACAAATTTTGAAAGACTTTTTATAAACTACATTACTCCTACGCAATTTAATAGATAATTTATTTATATAAATTATATTAAATACATTATATATATATATATATATATATATATATATAGAATATAGCAATTATTAATTTTCTCAAAGGAAACATAGTAATTATTAACTAATGCTTACCAATATGTAGGGAAAAAATTATTTCTTTGTTGATATTGGAATTTTTAATTTTTAATTTTTGTATTGAGATTAGAAATAATAATTAGTCTGGCATTTTTATAAAAATGGTAACTAAGAAATATGCTATATATTTTTTTATATTCTCTCAACCAAAAATAGAAACATAATAATTTTTAGTTAATGCTTACCATTATATTTTTTGTATTCTCCAAGCCAAAATGAAAACATATTAATTTTTCCATGGAAACATAATAATTCTTACAATATATATTATTTTTATATTCTCCCAATAAAAAAATAAACATACTAATTTTTGATCAATGCTTACCAATATTAATGTTTACTCACATTTTACTTGAGTAACACACACTTTCTATATATTACTTTGACATTTTTTATATATCCCCCAACAAAAAGTTGTAATATAGTACTTATTAAGTAATACATACCAATATTAATGCTTAGAATAAATGCAATGAAGTAGCATGCACTAAACTTTCTATTTATTTCTCTCACGTTTATGCAGGAAAAACTTCCCATTTTATTAAATATAGTATAAATGTTTTACACACAAATCATTACTTGATATATATAATATGTCATTAGAAATATTTTCACAAGATATATCTAATTATACCAATATTACGTATATAGTTTTGAGTTTATGTCTAATTTATATTTTTTTTCAAATACTTTTGAATTGAACAATGTATGATTTGTAATTATTTTTTTTTAATGAAATACGTTTTAATATTATTCATGTCATCATATTTTTTTCTTCTAAATTAAATTAAATTATGTTTTTTTTGTTATGCTATTAAAAACGCAAAGCATGTCTGGAAGAATTGAAATTGAAAATAGTGTTACTTATAATGTATTTATATGACTTCTTATTTAAAAAATTGCGGTGATCCTGTTTTTGGTTGTGCAATAGTGTATTTTCTATAATGAGTTATTTTTTCTCAAACATGGTAAACAATGGTATAATAATTTAAACAAATCAAATAGAACAAATTCTATATGGGCAGAAAAGTGAAGTAAAATATCAAAAAAAAATAAAAAAAATCTGAAATAGAAATATATTAAAAGAATAAATTTATATTCTTTTATAAAAGATAAAATATAATTTAAGTAAAAATAAATAAATATTAAATAAAAAATAAAATTGTAATCATTGCAATGAGAGTGATGCACTATTAGTATGAAGTGAGTGATACAGTGATTAAAGTTAGTGCTGATATATCGTTGAATGATTATTGATTTCGAGTGAGCGAAGATGAAATACTACGAATAGATTTAAGAGTAAGAAAAATAGTGTGCATGTCGCGTCAAGATAGCATGTCAAAGTGTGGGAGTTTTCTTCCTCTTCTTCTTCTTGGTTTCCAAGGGAGCCAATATATAATGAAGTTTTTGAAATGTGCGACATATTTTTTATATGAGATTCTATTTTAGTGATATGATATATGTTTTGCTCTTATTTATGATTTTTTTATTTTTATATATAATTAAAAAAAGATAAAGTTCTATAGTTAAAATTTGTACTGAGAAAATGAAAAATTTAAAAAGGATAAACGATGCAGATGAATTAACAACCCAAAACTCTAAATTTCTAGAAAACTCTTGAGATAATTTGTTTTTTCTTTTAGTATTACTAATTTTATTTTAATGTAATATAAATATATACATTCTTTTAATCTAATGAAGGACAAATAGTCAAAATCTCGCTAATATCCGTACTCGAGTGAGTACCATCTAGAATATTTAGAAGTAAAATTTGTTCAATATAGAAGGAAAAATGAGAGAAATGACAATAAAAGAAAAAAAGAAGAGAAAATAAAGAAGAAATTATTATTGTTCATAAGAAGGAAAAATAGGATGAGAATGAAGAGAAATCATGAGCAAAAAGCCAAAAAAAGAAAAAAAGAAAAAGAAAAGATGAGAATTGGTTGATTGGTGTAATTTATTCTCATTATAGAAGAAGAAAGTCTCACAACTTTTTTTTCTTTTACCCCATTTTCTTTTCAATAATTTAAAAAAGTCTCAAAATTCATATATTCTCTTCTCCAATTTTCCTTTTTCCCACACATCCAAATTCCAAACAAAAAATGCTTGAAGTGGGGGGCGATCGTGCATTAAACGTGTGATGTTAACGTTGCGCGATTTACGAAATTCAAAAAGCACGCTTCCCGAAAAACGGAAGCGGGAAGATGACGAGTCTTAAAATCACATTTTAAAAATAATCACTATCTCATTCTTCCCNCACAACTCCTCCGTACGGGTAGGGCACTCCGCGACGGCCCTCTTCCGCTGCAGATATCCACCGCTTCCGCCATGGATTCCAGAAGAAAGAGCTCCAGAATCGAGCTGCTGGAGAAGAAGGTCGCCTCATTAAGGAAAGTTCCCCAGAATGGAAACGGAGGCGTCAAAAAGAGAAGAAGAACGGAGTCACCCACTCCAGCGAAGGAGGTTCCGACCAATTCGGACTGCAAAACTCCTCAGAAGTCGGTCACAGAAACTATTCGCCTCTTCAACAAGCTTTATTTGCAAGCTGTCCAGGTTCATATCTCCACTCAATCCATTTTTCTTCAACATACACACCGTTTTTTTTGACATTCTTTCTCCATTGCTGTATTTAGGAAGAAGAAACTAGGTTGAAGATGAAGGAAAAGCCAAAGGTTAGTCTCTAATGGGGTTTTATATTTGTCCAATGCGGAGTACTGAAAAGGTCATGGTTTAAGACTTGATTGATTCCACGCGTGCAGAAAGCTGCTGGAGAGGATGAGAAGAAAAGATCTTTCAGGCCAGATCTGAAAGCTTTATCCCAGGCATGCTTCCAGTTGCTACAGCATTTATTAATGGGCTTTCTACAGGCTCTCTCTTTTCTGTTTTATGAATCTGATTTTTAATGCTCATCTGTTCTACCGTGACCTTCACACATAATGCTTAAACAGTAAAATTCTGGAAGAAGTAGAGACCCTCTAAAAAACACACATCCCCTTTTTCATATTATCCATCTCACTTGACAAGGCAGAACTATATTGTTCAGACTTATTTAGATATTAGAAAGAATAATAGGAACATACCAAAAATGAAGTGTTTGATATTAAAAGGGTAGGAGGAGTAACATTTAAACATCAGTTTTTGCATCATTTGTTTCACATTGGTGACTACACACATGATCTTAACATAGTCCTGGGCTATGCATTAGTTATTCCACAATGTCTATTGTCCCGCTTTCTAGTGATGTCTGAAAATGATGAGCTCTTATGCTTTGAACAAAGTGCCTGAAATATGCCGTGATCTGTCTGATAAACGGACCTACTGAAACCAATCCAAGATCTTTTTTATGAGTGTAATGCCATTTAGAATATGCAGAAAAGTAATAAACTTGGAGGTTCAGAAAGTTCTGCACTAAGAGAGCGCCATGATTTTTGCAATGCATTTTAGTCATGAAATAGATGATCATAACACAAGCAAAATTGGACAGTGTGATATTCAGGGTAAGAGGACTCTAAAAGTGATTAGACTTAAAGATAGAAGTTTAAACCTATGTTAGAGTGAGGAAATTTGCATGAATGAACTGTACATGTTACTATAATTGTATTTTTTGACAACAATTCATGCATGATACCTAAATCAAATGCTTGCAGATGAAAGAGAACAATGAGACCATCGAGACTCCAAACTCCTTCGGCGATATACCAGGTTTATGGTTTTAACTTCTTTTTTTGAGTCACTTCTTGTTCAAATGATTGTTTTGCAAATGTCATGCACTTACTGCTTACTCCCAAAAGCTTATGCAGTTATGCCTTAATGTTTTTCTTGTTAGAAATATTGTTTATTTTCTTGTACTACTCTGTATTACTTAAAAGGTTCTATTATTTTTATTTTCATTAAGCACATAGATTCATAAATTTATTGTTTGATTGTTTAGTAGACATCAAATTCACAAGCAAATCTGCCTGCATCTCTAACTCATGATATGACAACTTTGCACATAAAATGTAGAACTAAATCCAACACAGCAATTTCAAGTAACAAACATGCATAGTTCAATGTAATGTGTACAAAGAAGAAATAATTTTAGCTTGAGATAATGGATTGAAACATGTAAACTGCCATTTTTTTACAACAATAAGGCATCTGTACGTCTCTATGTTTCCATGATATTTTTGCCTCTATTTACACAACGACTATTGTTAAGTGTTGCTGTGTTTATTGCTTTCTCCACATGCAATTCCACTAAATTGACGTGGTTGCATATTAAAGTTTTTTCTAAGCTTCCTTCCATCACAAAGTGAAGTGTTTTCTGAATGTGTTAGGTTAGTGTAAGGACTTATGTAGCGAGAGTTGGTAATATGGTGTAAGAAGAAGGAATTGAGATATTTCACTGTTTTCATAATTCCATCACTTTTGCCATAGATTACAATTATATTAGTTTGTGAAATACACATTTTAGTAGGGATTGAACAAGAACTAAGAAATGGAGAGGATATCTAATCACACCATTTAAACTATTATGATCAAGCCCTAAGATAATCAACATTGGCTTGGATGAGCACACAGTTTCATAAAACTTCAAACATCATGGTGCGTGTTCCAAGTTCCAACACAACATTTATGAAAAGCTATTTGATTACTAATCAGTCTATTGAAATGCAACCTTTCAATTCTAATATATAATGTTAAATCTGTTTCTCTGGTGTAGGGGTTGAAGTCGGGCATCAATTTTTCTCAAGATGTGAGATGGCTGTTATTGGGTTCCATAACCATTGGCTCAATGGAATTGATTATGTTGGGAATTCAAAAGCAAAGGTACTATATTTTTTCCATTTGGTAATGGGGGTAATGGCGTAATGACACATTACCTGCTATGGAAAAATACAAAACTTTCTAGTATTTTTCTTCTTTTTATTACTTACAAACAGAATATGATAAATACCATCCATTAAAACTTATATTTTAAAATGATATTGCTGGTTCATATTCAAATGATTTTTTTACAATAATGTTTTCATCATTTTTTTACTATAAATTGTACAAAAATCATTGTCTTTACGTGACCATTTTAGCAAGTGCAATCACCTGTCTTGCTTGGACCTGCAAATTTATAGAAGCCATGAATCGTGGTCTGTGGACTGCCTTTGTCATTCTCTTTACTAGATGAGCTCTGTCATGAGTCATAACCTTTAAAGTGAGTCATAGATTGTGGCTCTAATGCCATGTAAAAAATATCGAGGAAGGAAAACACAAACCAAACAAGCCCAATATATTCACCGAGAAATAAGGTTGGAGAGGGTAAGCCGTACACTGCCTACCTTTATTTCCAAAGAGTTGAAAGGCTATTTATGAACGGACCATCAACAATATTTTAGAGATCATAAACATAGATTTATATATCAAGAATGTGTTTTGAGCACAATTTGCAAGCCGCACATTGTCAAAGATTTCTTTGTTTATTTATGAATTTGTTTTTGCTCAAGAGGATTTTGTTATGGTTCACTTTGGTACATGGCGGGCTTTGATTGTTTTCCTAGTACTTTGTTGTGTGGTAGAGGTTTACTTATAAAAGAAAGAAACAGTATCAACCATCTATCTTTCCCTTGAAAGAAAACAAAAACAATGTTTTGGGACAATAAAAATTGAACATCATATATATATATATATATATATATATATATATATATCTCATATTTAATTTCCAGTCTTTAAATACTTCTTGACTTCATAGGACTTTAAAGGGTACACACTTCCGCTGACAAGATCCATTGTATTATCTGGCCAATATGAAGACGATCAAGATAACTACGATGAAGTTGTCTACACAGGCCAAGGAGGAAATGACTTACTTGGCAATAAGCATCAAATCAAAGACCAAGTCATGCTACGGGGTAACCTTGGCCTGAAGGTTTATAACTTTCTGTTCTCTTTGCTTCCTTTCTCATTTATGGACCATTATTTATTTTATTCATTTTTTATACAAAGTGGAGTGGAGTAGTCATACAAGCCATTTGGTGAGGGTTATTTGGATGATATGCACGATTCTCATAAATTTTCTGAAAGTTTCCTTGAAAATTATTTCAGCAAAGATGTTATTTTTTCTTATAATTCCATTATTTGCCCTAGGTCTACTTGGTGTTTATTCTAATTGGAATATATAAAATGACAGAACTGTGTTGCGCAAGGTGTGCCCGTTCGAGTAACTCGTGGACATAAATGCGAGAGTAGTTATGTGGGAAAGGTTTACACATATGACGGTTTGTATAAGGTGAATGTTTTCCCTCTTTTATGCCCTACTGGCTTGAAAAGCACACCATTGCAACTGCCTTTTTTATTATGATCTGCTAGCTTGATTCTTATGACCACATTTATCTGAATGATCAGTCTATTGATTATCACTTTTATTATCTAAGGCCTCATTTGAAGTGGCTGTCAGTTTTTAGTTTATATGTAACTTTTTTTATAGTTAAATAATACGGAGTACAAATTATATTAAATCAATCACCTGCCAATATAAGAAACTAAACTAAAACTTGTTTCCAAACTCTGGTGTTTAATTGTCAAAAAACTCAAAATTGGCAGCCACAGCAAACAGCCTCAAGCCTCAAGGCTTAAGCATATACAAATAGTTTATTTTATGAATTAGTACATCACACATATTATAGAACATTGTCTCACGGGGGTTTGTTTTTTATTGCTACGTGGTTGTTGAAAATTTTCTGAGTTATGAATTTGTTGTTTCATTTTGCTTGTATAGGTTGTAAATTATTGGGCCGAAAAAGGCGTTTCTGGATTTACTGTCTACAAGTTTCGCCTTAAACGTATTGAAGGACAACCTCCACTGACAACAAACCAGGTCTTGTTTTTTATTTTACTTCTGTCTTTGTTTTTACCAATTACTCAATTTTTATTTTGGTTTACTATATTCAATATAACGGCATAGATGCAGAATCCTGCTATTCTATACATAGATGTTAGCTAAAACATAGTACTGTGTATAATGTATATGAAAAACCTCTTTGTCCATCATACATTTACTACGAGAGTACTCACAACAAAGACAATACGCAAAAAATGTAACCTTCAGTTATTAATGGAGTTAGAAACAAGAAGAAAAAAATTTATTAACAAAAGCCAGTATTGGAAAAGCTAATTGTTTTTTGCAATATGTTTATAATTTTATGTATGTGTTCCCTCATGGAATTATGGTCTACTGTCCATCCACGTCCAGGTTCACTTTGTTCGAGGTGGTGCTCCAAGTTCTATCTCTGATATAAGAGGGTGAGATATTTAAGTTAGAGGCTTTATTTTTCCACTCCCATCCTATTTTATGGGGCACAATTGTTTTTTGGCATAGATACTAGGGATACATGATATTTGATTGATTTTCTTTTTTATTCTCAAGTTGTGTAATTAGGTAAAAACATCTAATTATTAAGGAGTAAATTGGAAATATTGTAAAGTTGTTTCTAAAAAAAGAAAATGGACATAACTGTTGGTACAAATTAACAATGGGAACCTAAACATCGAAAATAGAATATGTAGTAATTTATATAGCTACCTTGAGATGTGACTTGTGTTATTGCAAAACGCTAGGTTGGTGTGTGAGGATATTTCAGGGGGTCTTGAGAAGATCCCCATTCCTGCCACAAATCTTGTTGATAAAGAGCCTATTCCACCTCCAGGTGAGCTTTCTTTTTCCTTTTGCGCTTTTTAGTTTATCTTTGATTAAAAGAGGCTTTATAAAAATTTTATGCAAATATCAAAATGATGCAAAATTATCTTGTTTATTACTTTTCAATAACATATTAAAAGATTTATTGGACTTAGAAGATAGTTGGCAATGCATAGTAGAATTCATGTAAGGGGTAGAACAACTACTTTGCAGTACTTCATATTAACAGTAGTATAAGTTGTCTAACAACTCTAAAATACAGTAGCTCTTGCTTAAATGATTTCATATACTTGGGATTACTTGCTGTACTTTATTCTGATGTTAAGTCTCTAAGGCAGGCTCTAAGCTTTCCTTATGTTTCAACTTTCAATACAGGCTTTACTTATCTCAAGGAGATGAGATGGCCAAAGGATATAACAGTTCCTTCATCTGGACCGGGTTGCAATTGTCGCGGTTCATGTTTTGACTCCAAAACCTGTTCTTGTGCAAGATTAAATGGTTCGGACTTTCCATATGTTAGCATTGATGGCGGCAGGTGTGTGTCTAGCTACATAGGTTGCTTAATTTTTTCAGTTTGAAGTGTGATACACAGATGTGGAAGTACTTAGATGTCCTAATAATGGTGCTTCCACGCGTCTTACTAATTGTCATTCTTGATATGGAGCTGTTAGTCCTAATTTTTTAATTGTAATCTATGCTTTATAGGCTCATTGAACCAAAAGCGGTTGTTTTTGAGTGTGGTCCAAATTGTGGCTGTGGACCAAAATGCATCAATCGCACATCTCAAACTGGGCTTCGATTTCGGCTCGAGGTTCTATTACATCCTTATCATACACCTTTGATATTTTTATTGCGTATTAATGAAGATAATGTACGGTCAATACATTCTTTTGAATAAAATGCACATCTCATTACACCAACCATGAAGACCATCCATCCATACAATTACCAATTACACAACACAGTCAGTAGTGACATCAATTAGGTCTAGGAGAATATTCCCAAAATTTCCCATTCTCAATATACCTACTATGAATGCATTTTATCCATGGTCTTTTTTGTTAGCAATTTTTTAACACATCTTCATAATACATGCCCTATATTCCACTTTTGCAGCATATGAAAAGTTTTTTGTAATCTAAGAGGAAATTTTGACAATGATGCTTTCCACAAATCTATCACATTTTTTAATGCAGTAGTAATTTGGCTGCAATGTGAAGACTTTTTATTTTATATTTGTAGGTATTCCGTACACCTAACAAAGGGTGGGGTGTAAGGTCTTGGGACTATATACCCTCAGGTGCACCTATTTGTGAGTACATTGGCCGACTGATGAAGACAGACCAAGTCGATCCCAAGACCGATACCAGCTATGTGTTCGATATTGATTGCTTGCAGACCATGAAGGGTTTAGATGGTAGAGAGGTATGACTCTTAAAATTTTGATTTTCCTTCTACTCCCATTCTTACAGTCCATTTAGAACCTGTAAATTAGAGATGGAAATTTAAATGAAGGATATTAAATCTAAATATATGTACATTTTTATTTTACATAAAGACTAAGGCTAAGAAACAAACTTACAAAAAGTCATGTAGAGTATATTATATTTCTTAGCATTTTTTAGTAAAATCCCACAATCTAAACATACCTTACAGTTGGGATTCTTGATTTCTGCAGAGGCGGTTGAGAGAGGTGACATTGCCTGACCACGTGGAGAGTGACAGCGAGAAAGCCTCCGCACCCGAGTTTTGTATCGATGGGTTTTCTTGTGGTAATGTCTCTAGATTTATCAATCATAGTTGCCAACCTAATCTCTTTGTGCAATGTGTGTTAAGCAACCATCATGATATCAAGCTTGCACGAGTTGTTCTTGTAGCTGCGGATAACATTCCTCCACTACAGGTATTTGAATTCTTTCCTTCAGCACTTGCATAAATATTGGCAGTGGTAATATAGATTGCAATATTTTTTGTCATGTAACATGTTTGGTGTGCACTTGGTTTGACTTGTGGTTCAGAAGTAATTTAGATATTATAGAAGTTATTGGTTTGGTTTGCAAATTTAAAGAAGATAAATACCTTGCAACACTTGAGCTTTTTTTGGCTTGCAAAATCATATCAAACACTCTTGCTGGGCACTCAGGTTACATTTGTCAAATAGTGTTACGATCTAATTCAATGGAATATATTTAGTGTGATTTTACATTAACAATTGCATCTGTTATATTATATCATATTTTATGTTCCATTACTACTCAGTCCAACATTATCTTGAACTGTTTTTTTTCCCCTTAAAAAGTAGCAACTTAGAACTTTTTCTTATATAAGCTCTAAAATTGCTCTCTCACTATTGACATTTTTTCTTTCAATCAATTTATTTTGAAACCTTTTTCCATTTTTATGAACTAAACAAGTATTTCTAAATATGCAGGAGCTCTCATATGACTATGGTTATGAGCTAAATAGCGTTACAGACGCTGATGGAGAGATCAAAAGGCTCGATTGCTATTGTGGTGCAGCAGAGTGCCGGAAGCGCTTATACTAGGGTTAAAATCTGCCTTCATTAAATCAACTCGATTTTTGATTGTCAAATTTTTTGTTCAATCTACACTGTAAGGCAAATTGTTTTTATATTGGCCTTTCTTTTAGTTAATACACTCTTAAAGTGAGGACAAGATGAAGAGGGTCTTGTATGTGTATGTGATAGATTGTGTAGTCATCCCCTTCCCCCTCCCTCTTCCTGCCTATATTTTTGAAATATGTGCATACAATTAGATTGATCAAGCCTAAAAGCCAAAATATTAATCCTAAACACCCAAGTATTCTGAGCTCAAACTTGAATACTGCTATTATTGAATTTCACCTGGACCTTGAAATAGTTTAATTCAGTGCCAACTCTGAACCTAAATTTAAAGACTTTGCTACTGCTATGTTTTAGTTGTAAGTGGTACATAGTACTTTCTTTCAAAAACTAAAAATAACTTTATCCTTTACTGAGCATGGAGTACAATGCAACACTTTTTTACCAGTATCATTACTATGGAATCTACTACCTCTTTCCAATTTATAGTGCCTGTTTCGGTTTACGATGCTTGACTGAAATTATTTTCAAATCATTTTATATGACAAATGGTATAGAGTTAAAAAATAAAAATTTTATATTAAAATACTACGGAGTACATTAAAAGATCTACAAAACTAGTAGTGACAATAATACTTTATTTTATCAAATTGCTAATGAAAACAGAGAAAGAAAGTTAATAAAGTTTGATCCTGTGAATAGTAAATATGCACTATAAATTGGGACGGAGGGAGTATTTTACAAAAATGTATTTAAATTGTTTGTATTATTTATAGGATCAAATTTTAATTACATTCTTTACTCATTTTTTTGTAATTCATTTGATAAAATAGTTTAGTCATATCACTCTTGTTTTATAAAAATTTTTATGTAGTTTTTTAGCTATATTATTTTTTTCACCTAGATTTTCATATAAACATATTTGAAAATTATTTTAGTCAAACATCATAAAAAATAACATGCAATTTAGAATGAGACGGATGAGTTACTTACTACCTCTGTCCCATTTTATAACGTCTGTTTCGGTTTACGACGTTTGACTGAAATTATTTTCAAACCATTTTATATGACAAATGGTATAGAATTAAAAAATAAAAATTACATATTAAAAAAATACATCAAAAGATCTACAAAACTAGTAGTGACAATAATATTTTATTTTATCAAATTGCTAACGGAAATAGAGAAAGAAAGTGAATGAAGTTTGACCATGTGAATTGGGACGGAGGGAGTACTACTTTAATCTCTGTGTATTTGTCTAGTTTTGATTTTTATTCAGTTAATCATTTTTATAAGTTGACTTATAATTATTTATATTAATTTGATATAATAATATGTTGAAAATAATTGAGATAATAATTCTTAATTTTTTTTCAATGCCTAATATAATTTTTATTTAATTAAAAGTCAAAATTTACTAATTTTGACTAAAAAGTCAAAAGTTGACAAAATATTTATAGACTTAGCGAGTATAAATTATTTTTGAAATAATAAAAATATGAAACTTAAAAAAAATGCTCCCTTGGCACACTTTTAGAGCCGGCCGCCTTGGACAAATTTTACTAAATCTCTATAAATTAATAACCTTGGAGTTGGAACTTGGAACAATGAAATTTTTTTAATTTAAAGAGAGTAATATATTGATAAATTAATACGTAGTATATTATTAATTAAAAGAGACTTTTTAAATTCAGCAAATTTAGAGTTTGTTCTCTTTAACAGAATTGATTGAAATAAGTTCTAACTTAAATGTAGTTATATTTAAAACTACATTCTAATCAATCACATGTTTCATTAGGACCCTTATTTAAAGCAAATTTCATAATAAAATAGTAATTTTTTTAAGAAAGTCTCATTGTAAATATTAGGCCTGCCAAAACTTTAATGAGATTTTCTAAAAAACTACTAACTTTTTATCTTATCAAACTTGATGATTTTTTACAAAGGCCTAAGTCGAGACTCAAAGATTTTATTATTTTAGAGAGTTTATTAAATTTGTTGAGATTTTACTATATACAGAGTACTCCATAATCTTATTTGCATTTGGCTAGCATTGTCCCCATGTAACCTGTTGAGTTCCAGACTTGTATACTAAGTATAACTTTTTTTGTTTTGAAATAATTATTCTAGTTTAATTTTATCGTGTTTAAAAAAGTAAAAAGTGAGAGGTAGAAAATTTAAATTTGGTTAAAAGAAAGAGAAAGATTGTGGTCTATATAATTTCTAATTTATTAGAAAAGTAAAGAACTAGATAACTATTTTGAGACAGACTAAAAAATAAAAATGCATTTAAATAAGGATACATTTAAAAATTAGAAAATAAATTATTAAATTCTAGAATGACTTATGAAACTTAGTTTATACTTCACAAACTAAAGAAAATGAGTGATAACAAACTAGTATTCTGACTACTTGCTACTCCGTAATATTTTTAATTCATCAAGAAAAACTTTAAATTGGAATAAAAGATCAATGTGATAAAATTAGAACAAAAACATTACATAAATTTATTATTTGATGAAAAATATAAAAAGAATATTATATTTATAGTATTTTAGTATATATCTTCGGTTCGGGAAGTTTGATATGAAAAATTAATTCGTACCGTTCTTAAATATCAAACCAATCATTCGATTCGGTACAATTTTTCGATATTTCTTTGATTCAATATTTTTTGATTTGATATTCTAAGTCTTTCGGAGATTTACGGGTTCGGTTTTTGGTTACTCTAATAGCACACTATTTTTCTTTGGATTCACTATTTTATATATCGGTCCGGTTCTAGTGACACCGGAGAATGGTGTCACTCCGGTGCCATTGGGTTATTGGGCATTTACGGTGCTCCGTTCGTAAAATTGACGGTTCATAACCCCTAACCCACCTCCTAAACCCCCACCCTACCCCTACCCCTACCCCTGCACCCCCACCCCAATCCCGCCGTAAGCCCCCCACAAAATGTATGGCTATTATGCAATGCAGAATAGCCACACATTTTGTGGGGGGCTTACGACGGGGTTGGGGTGGGGGTGCAGGGGTAGGGGTAGGGGTAGGGTGGGGGTTTTAGGAGATGGGTTAGGGGTGTAAGAACTCTTAATTTTACGAACGGAGCACCGGAGGTGCCCAAAAACCTAATGACACCGCTAGTGGCCCCGTTCCCCACCGTTTATATATTTATTTATTTATTGAATGGATTCACATTTTATTACCAGTAACTTTTGGAAAATTTATTACCAGTAACTTTTTTTTGCATACCTCTGTTCTTCCTTTGATTCACATTTTTTCAGGCTTCATATCCATTTCCTGAGATCTGTTTGTTATGAATCGGAGGCCTCATTTCATTCATTCTTGAGTTTTTGATTCCAAACTCAGGGGAGAAACGGCTCTAATTCTCTAAAAGGAGCATCGGATTTGGAACTCAGTGAGTCACACACGGAAACTTGTGAGCGAAGTAGAAACTAGGGAACCCCGTTTTTGCGGAGCCCAGTGCCACAACTCCGGCGAGGCCTTGCCTGCTTCGTACAAATAATGAGCGGACGACTGAGACGACGATGAGACCTCCGAAGCTGCCGTCTAGCAACAATAGAAGCAGTTGCAGGCCAACTCTTCTTCATCTCCTCTTTGCAGCTGCCGTTTTCTCCATCATCGTCTTCACCATTCAGTCCTCCTTCACTGGTTTCCTCTTTTTCTCCCCTCACATTTTTGAAGCCAGCCCTAATTTGGTTTACACTTCCCATGCGATTGCAACTTTCTTTGCTGCTGCTGCAGCTGCAGGTTACCGCAGATTGAAGAGCCCCAACCGAGAGGAAATCCTGATCTTATCTGATTTCCAGTCCAATCTTCAGCAATGCGTGGTTGGCCACCCTTACTTTCTATCAATTTTGTGAAGTTGTTGTATCTTATTGTTAATCACTTTAGAGATCGATGCTTAACATTCTTCCACTTTCACAATGGATGCTGTTCTATTATTGGGTCTTTTTCTTTTCGGATGAACCTTTAGTAGGCATTCATCTTTGAAGCCAATTTTCTCACAGTTCACTTGGGATGCTTCTCCCTTGATTTGTTTACACCATGACCTTTCCTAGTTGATTTTTCTCTAAAAATATCAATATGGGACTTGGGGTAAGGTGCGTCCATGCCAGAGATTGCCTTTGGCAGATTTAGGTTCTCTGATGTGTAGGTTGACTCTGATTTTTATGCCAGGAAAATCGAGGGCTCGGGCTTACAGCTCATATTGTTGATCATTGTAATATTATTCTCAAATTCCCTGAAGGAACTAACAGCACATGGGTACGTCTCTTGCCCTACTTTATTCATTTCTGCTCACAAACGATATCTTAACTGCACGTCTTTAACTACATCTATAATTGTTTTTACTTATATAGTACAATGAACAATTCAAGATTTTTGAGCCCCTGGAGTACAAGTATAATGTTTGCGAGGCTATCCTGCTATGGGAACAGGTTTGTCTCAGTCATTTCTACCACTCACTAACACATTTATGTATCTGAAAGTGAACAAAATAACATGAGGTAAGTTCAAATGCAGTATCGGAACATGACCACTGTGTTGACAAGAGAATATCTGGACGCAAGACCTGATGGATGGTTGGACTATGCAGCAAAAAGGATAGCACAGTTGTATGCTACAAGTCCATTTTGAGCAGCCCTTACATAACTTTCTCTTGATTCACCTTGCAATGCCTATTCTTTCAATTATTTAATTGTAGAGGGGCAGACAAGTGCTACAACCGGACTCTTTGTGAGGAGCATCTCAATATACTTCTACCTGCACAGCCACCTTTTCACCCTCAACAGTTTGGGACATGTGCTGTTGTTGGGAATTCAGGTGACCTCTTGAAGACAGAGTTTGGACCAGAAATTGATAGTCATGATGCAGTAATAAGAGACAATGAGGCTCCTGTTAATGAGGTACAACCTGCATTTCTTTTGTCGTTTCCCATAGCATGTAGCCATAATTTTCTCAAGGGAGTAGGGATCATATTCTTTTAAAAATTTAATCTGTCTTTCTATGTAAGAGTGTGGATCCTTTGCATCGAGAGATGGCTTTCATAGTTCCTTATTTATCTCAAG